AGGAGGATATCGACAGTCTAAACAGATTCCTAAATACACATACTAAACCTTGGAAAACAAATTAGAAAGCTTCTTTTATTGATTATGACTTAGAAATGACCAGCAGTTCTCAAACCACCCAATGCCCTTGTAAAAGAAATTATAATTTTTTCATGATGAATGTTTTCTCTCATTGTACATTCTTGCATTAAACATTTTATATTGTGTTGTTCATACGGCATCTGACGTTGATTGTCTCCTCCAAATGTACCTTAGGACTTATTTTTACCGTTGTCCTTGTCATCTTCCATGCAATAATTTATTAATTGAGGTATGATCTTTAAAATCCTAAACCAAAGACAATTATTATTCCATTCTGTAGGTTTTCACATGGTTTGTGTGAGTGCAATAACTTTACTATTCTTTGTACAAAAAGCTGTGTAAAACCTTCCTTTAATGGAAAAAAAAACAAAAAATATAAGAAAGCACATGGATGCTCAGTGAAGATGTCTACTTATTTAAATATCCTCACATCACAGTCATCATATGACTGTAGAGCCAAAACCTTAAAAAATGCATTGCTGTCAAATACATGAACTTGGAGCTGCTGTCAGCTGAAAGCAACTCAGTGAAATGATGAATAAGAGAAGGCAATCATATGGAGCTATACCATATTGTTGCAATCAGAGGGCCGTTTTGAATTATAAGGGGCAGCAGTCATTGAGCAGATTGGTTACTTGAGCTGGTCAGCCGGTTTCCTCTGATGAACAGAGATTTCAGTCAGTGAGAGATGAACCGAAGACCTCGCAGTGCCATAATCTTAATCATTCACTAGTTCATGCACACACTGGCACCCAATGTTCTGTCCCCAGCCACAAATATGTCGATACAGAAATGATATAACAAGACAACGTGTGGCTGGTGTGGTTCTCATTATTCGACTAATGAGCTGTCTCTATGCCAGTCTGATCTGTCAGCCAATGAAGCGAGCAGGCCCTGTGCAGGGGGAAGCACGGCCCAGGGTCAGCCAGGCGACGGCTTGTGATGAGGGGCCGGTGTGCGGCACTTAACACCGGGAAGAGCTCGTTAAAGTGTCATTTTTGGCCAATATGCTCGTCTGTGTCGAGGAGGCCAATCAGCCATACTGTTCCTATCGCAGGAGAATGACTTGCATCCATCACTGTCAGCTATATGATGATATTAGCAGGTGTTTACTGATAGGCCATTCAGAAGAAGACAAATGAAAGTTCTAATATCACTCCACACTCATATTCACTCAGTCGTTTTACATACTGGCTTAGTCCTAATGGGGTCACGGAGGGCTGCGGGGAATCTATCCCAGCATGCACTAGGAAGGGAGGCAGGGCAACACTGATGGCCAAGGCATCAGTCCATCACACGATTTAAACACTTGACAGAAAATCACAGTCATGCACAAACTGTCCATGTACTAACTTAGCAATGGAAAGACTATCAGACATGACCATTTTAGGAACATGGTTGCGCTTTTATTTAAACGCAGCATATTAAATCGTGGCGTTTCTTGGCAACATATATTCCTGATTCATGCCATTTCTCCTGCTGTTAGGGAGAACAGCGTGCCAAACTACATTTTTAATATATATATTTCATTTTTTTCTGCTGTTCTTATTAGCAAAGATACACCCACGACATGCAGCTGCAAAAGTGGAGTAATGAGCAGGGTGAACTGACTTTAAAACATACAAAAAACATAGCCATGTCATCAACTATGGACCTGATGGAGGCTCCTTATTGACCAAAGCTACATACAAACTAAAATCTACAAAGGAATGTAATTATTTTTGAAACATTTTTAAAAATGCTTAATTCTGTACTACTTTGTAATAAGCACTTTAGAAATTCCTCTCCCTTGCACATACACACACATTCCTCCACTTATATGAACATAAATGAATACATGACACATACAATACTCCCTCTAAAAAAAGGGAAAAACTAAAACCCCATACTGAATACCAAAACCAAATGAAAAACATCATACCCTCCGTGTATGCCTTACTGTTTTGTAGTTTTGTCTGTATGCATTGTCCTATTGCACTTATAAAAACCACAAAAACAGAAAAGGAAAATGTTAATAAGTAGTAACTAAAGGCTTTATTAATGATTAATAAATCAGAAGTCCTTAAGAACAAGTGGGCAAGATGTTAAAAATCCCTTTGACAGGCATTATCCTCTGTTTCGTAATTATGGCAGTTCTAAATGTTGGCAATCCATTAAAGTTTCACACTTTCTGTTAATAAATGTATGCACGTGTTTATAAGTGTGATTAATGAAGGGTTTTTCTAATAATCATTCCAGTGTGAAGTTTACAACTTGGCAACAAAAAAGTTAAAAAAAAGTTATATAAAACATTCCCAAGTTCCAAGAACACTATCGTTTCTGTTAAACTCACAAGCTGACAGTCGCTCTGTCCCCGGGACCAACAGAGGTGTTTGGAAGTGTGGGTGTATCTGCAGCATGTGCGAGTGTGTAATGGAATCTGTGCTGACCGACTCTCTCCACTGGACCCTGCTGTAATTACACCACTCATCGTCTGGGCCGGGCACACTAAGGCCGCTGTTACCCACTTCATGTTTTGCATGTAAACTTATAGTCTTGCCAACTCTTGCTTTCATGATACCCAAGTCTCTCAAACTGGAAGCAAACACAGGAGTCAGGTTTCTGCTGTGCAGGACATAAAGCTGACAAATTTCTCTCCACATTCGTTCTGCTCTTCATTTGGACTACGCAGGAGATATCAAAAAGATTAATGCTGGCAGTAACAATGTTGTCAGGGAAGAAAAAAGGCTACAATTTCTGTTCTACATTAAACATTTAGCTGGACGAACTCTGTTTTCCTTTTGAAGACGAAAACAAAAAAACTCATCCCATCAAATCCTGTTCTGCAGTGCCCAGGTGATTTCTACTGGGAGTGTCTATGCAAGAGCTTCATTGCTTAGGCCAGACCTCATCTTCTGAAAAAGTTCTGTTCAGTAACTATATTTGTCATTCTGGCAGTGCCCCAGCCTCCTTCCTTGTTTGGTCCTTTTAACTTTCCATGTAACTTTCCTCATGTCTCCTCACGGCAAGGATAAATATTTCATGAAGAGCCTGAGGCTTTCCCTGGCACATGCCGTACCTCACTGTACCCAGGAAGCCTAAACAGCGGAAACCAAAACTGTAGAGGAAGTGGACATACAACCGAGCAACAGACAGGAGCTTGTTTTCGAAATACTTCACTCCACATTGCCATCTCTTGCACTTCAGCCCCACCTTCTTCTTTTATATTCTCCCCTCCCCCTCATTCACCCTTCTGTTTCTTCCTCATCCACTTTTCGCCCTCATCGTACTTTCTCCACCACTACTGCTCTGCCTCACATGGTATGATGGTACTAATTGAGGTATCTGATCAGATAATTATCACTGACTGTAAACAACAGCAATAGTCCCAGTGAATAGCAGCGGGTAATATTTGAATGCTTTTCTTAACCTAATAAGCTAACATTTTTCAATCTATGAATCATTGTTTTACAGACAAGAAGGCTTTAAGTGGTGAAACTTAAATGCAACTTAAACTACAAAGTTGGGTTGTGTTGGACAAATGAAAACATTTGACCGAATGATGGCGCTAGATGAAAAGTTAGGGCATCGCGGTTGTTAATATGATTTGTCCTGAGTGGGACATGAATGTCGGTACTTAATTTCATGGCAATCCATCTGACAGCTGTTGAGACATTTTACTCAAAACCACAAATGTCAACCTCATGGTAGTGCGGGGGTCACCAAAGTCAGTAGGATGCATCCTCTGGGATCAGTGAATGAAATATTTCAGTCTGGACCAAAGTGGTGGTCCAACAGACGGACGCACATTGCTGGCAACATGAAGTGGTTGTGTTTTACCATTTAGGTTATGTTCAGCGTGGGTTTCCTGTCATTTAAAGTAGGTGACAGCACCCTAAAATGAAACTCTTCTTCAGGCATCTCTCTTTTTGTAATTCATATATTTAACCATTACTTGCAGATGGGCAGTTCGAGCAGAGGACTCCTTCTTCATGCAAATTTCGAAGTCTCAAAGACATGTTGTCATGTGATACCAATGTGTGCTGCTGTTCTGTCAGATTACACAGAATCTTCTATGTTGACTGTGTACCCTCGTCCTGTCTCCTGTGCTCTGTCCTTCAGGTGTGGCCTGGATGTGACAGACAGCTGCCAGCAGTGGCCTGGTTTCACACCTTGGCTGTCCCCCCCTCTGCAGACAGCAGCCTGGGAAACCACAGGCCACCAGGCTGGCGCCAGCCTGTACAGCTTGGAGCAGGGCAGCCGGCCCAATCAATACCTCTGCATTTCCTGTCCATTTGCTCAGGTCTCTTCATTAATAATTACTGCTTGGCTGAGCTTCAATGCGCTCGCTGGCTGGGCCAAGGGGAGAGGCTGTGTGACCTTTCCCCACCCCAGGGTTGACTTGGATCACATGCACAGGCATGGGGACAGACATAATAAGGCAACATAGATGACATTACTCCTGATTCTTGCCATTCCCCCCCTCTGTGGAGAGGATATCTCGCCAAACACCATAAAAAAAGCATATTTTTTGCAGCTGTGCTTATCAGCAGCGGCACATACCTGCTAGAACATGACTTTGAGACATTTTAACAACTGGTTTGGAGTTGCTCTTCAATTTGGCAAACACCCACTACATCCAGCAGCTATGATTTCAGCATCATCGGCAGTAACGAGCAGGGTGAACCAATTTTTAAATTTTTTTAATTTTGTTAGAATAAGTGCTGCTTGGTGCATCATTTTCTGTTCATGGCACATTTTCCAGATGACAATAGCAATTCCTCAAAACATCTTAAATTCCGTTCTGCCTGGTATGTGCCTTAGCTGATAAGCAAGGTAACAATAAACTGCCAGGTTTTAAAATGCAGCATGGCGTGATATTTTCTCCACACAGGACTGGAAGGGTATGTATTAGGGCCAACACAACACATGACATGATGCTGAAGTAATGTGTTTTTATTCCTTTTTCAATGATGACCATTTATGGATATAGCCTTTGCAATTCTGAAGCACTGACATCCACAACAGAGCAGAACAGTTCCTCCAGACTAGTAGCACCTAGTGTCAGCTGTTCAGTGGTTCTTGTCCTTGTTGACAAAGATACTCCAGGCATTTAGAAGAAGGAGTGTGTGTGTGTGAGTTCAGGTCAAAATTCGGTGATGGTGGAGGCGATGTTCTCCAAGGCGGATCGAGCCTCGGAGGAGGGGAAAGCCTGAATGGCCTCCAGAGCCTTGTTGCCATGGTAACAGCATAAGTCCACCGCTGAGCTGACGCCATTCTCCGACTTAACTGCTGCCAAAAGCTGTCAAGGGATGAAAACACATGTTAGTTTGTCACGTTTGTGTCAATCCTCTTACTATCCAGCCGTCAACACAACAAACTTGACACGGAAAGTTAGCGTACTCTTAAAGTAAGGGTAAAAACTAGACTGTACAGAAGCACAGCACTTATTTTAATGACAGTGAAACCCATTGTATAACACAATCATGTACTTGCATGCTGCCCCTAGTACCACTTGAGGCAGCTTACCATATTTAACTACATTGGGAAAGATTTCAGACCCATCATTCTGAGTTATATTTAAAATATTGGCAGGCCTTTTTTGACGCAGAGAAGGGAAATGCACTGAATTTTATTTTCCTGTAGGTTGTACCCAGGCATCTCACAGCTCTCCTGTCTTTTCAGTCAACTAATTATGGCACCAGATCACAGAACTGGTGCACAGCCAGTTTTCACTACAATCCAGGTGATAAATTGAACAAAATGCAAACCAAAGAAATTAAAATTTCTTGCTCACCCAACGATGTCAGTGCACTTTCTGTTGCCTATTTATAATGTCTGTCCTTCATGTTTCGATGTGACTGCTTAAATATGTGAATTATTTGAATTCAAATATGAGTTTTGTGATTATATTTGCTTAAAAGAAAATTTTACCTCAATAAGACACAATTTAAAGAAAGCCTGCGTCTCTGTGTATACAAGGCCTGGGACTTTCTCTCTCTCTCTCTCTCTCTCTCTCTCACACACACACACACACTATACATTTCATACATGAGAAAGTGGAAAACATCAAGTCAAATCAGCCCCAACCAACAGCTTAAGTATACTGACAGTGAATTTGGGCGTCTCCTTGTGCCTTACTCCTGGTATGTTGGGACATCTTTTTGCCGAGGGCGTTTTACCTCATGAATTCTGGAGGTGGAAATCCCCATAGGCCTTCCTTCTTTTAAAAAAAAACTGCAAATATTGACCTTGGCATCACCCTGGCTGCTCATTTAATTTAGAAGGGATTCATTAATTTCACACCATCTTAACATTGTTTTTCTCTGCACTAACTTAATGTTCCCCTCACCTCTTAATATCCCCCATTCTCTGTTTGCATGTTAGGTAACCTCATAAGTTTGACCATCCACATGCACTTCTACCTGATACCTCATCAATATTCAGGTGTAGCACATCAGAACAATTCTAGCTGTGAGATTTCTCAATAAATATGACCAAGATCAAAATTTGATCTTTCTTACACTTGAGATGAATTTCAAATGTAAAAGTAAAAGCTAATGTGTAAAAAAAAATAAAGAAAAGAAAAAGATAGGTCCATTAAAGATGTTGTGCCACCATTAGTCCCGCTGACATTAGGGTCAATACTTATGTAGCCCCAAAGAGTTCAATATTAAATCAATCAATCAAACAAGATCAAACAAATAATCATATACATAAATAAATGACAGTGAATTATATAAACAAACAAAGAAATTGTGAAACAGTTCATTATTATGAAATGTTCATACCAAAAAAATTTAAAAGTAATTTGTTGTTCCACAATGGCATTTCCCTAATGACACTTTTTCATAAAGTCACTTTCATGACAATCACTACCCATCCACCTTTCAGCCAATCACATGCCTCTAGTCTCCCAAGCAGGCTTAACAACTGCCTGCTATTTAGCTAGCGTGTGTTGGCTAGGGGAACCAAAGAGAAAGACTTTTTTTTGTCTTTTCACAGAGTTATGTCAGAGCTGATGAGCATCTTTTAGAGCCACAACATTACAGAGGTAACGTTGAATTAACCAGCTAGCTGCTGCTGTTAACACTGGCTCATTACTATGATACTGTGGACTAAACCAAGCTAACAAGCCAGCCTAACTAGTTAGATGGCTATAGGTAGGTGGCATGTGCAGCGGTGTGTAGGCGCACTGTCCTACAGTAGTATAAGACTATATTTAGTAGTACAGTTTTTATAATTAAGTAATCTATTGCATAATTTTAGCTATCAATATTCTATATATGTATTTATATATAAAATTTCAAACATATTTACTGAAATTTAATCTATATTTGCTGTGATTGGCCATTATGTCTCTGTGAATGGGTTAACGCTGCTGAAATGGCTGACTTCAGGTAAGTGTATCTTTCACACTTCTTTCATGTCAATCCGACTGTCTTATGTTATTAGTGCAAAAATATTTAATGTCTCCAAATAATATACACTTCGACCCAATATCTCCTTCTCCCATAATGATCAATTTTACAGCTGGCAAATTTTATAAAAAGTGTCTCTTCGGGGATGTTTTTTCTAATTGACTGAATGCAAAACAGTATAAGGTTGGAGTTTCAGTAAACATTTATGGTTATTTATCAGATTTAATGGTTTGAAAGCACATGCTAAATCATGTAGACAATTTGTAGATGCCAGAAATGTACACAAAGTTCCTGTTATGATTTCCCATCTCTGTGCAGAATCAAACAAAGTTTTACGCTTGTGTGCCCAAGGTATTTCTTTTTCCTCCCCAAAATTTCATCCCTCTCTCTGTCCTGTTCTCAGCTTTCCTCCTCGTGTCCCCTCATCTCGCCTTCCCTTCAAACTTCTCCCCATGTCCCCTTCTCGACAGGTCTGCTGAAGGAGATTCTCTCAGAATGCCACTGTCTCAGAGCCTCAGTGTCTCCTCCACAAATAGGCCTTGGTAACTAATCCTTCCTACTCTGGTTTCAGACGGGACCAGATAACCCCCCCCCCCCCCCCCAACACCATCAGACCCCTCCTCTGTAGCTTCAGTCTCTTCTTGCACCCTTATCGGCCCCCCTGTTCCCTCACACATTGACTTTGGAAAGCTCATTTCTCAACTTTGATATAGGTTACAGTGAAAAGATGTCCTGTTCCTCTTTGATGGCTCAGTGAGATGCCGCGCCAACATGTAAACAGGTGAAAACAATAAGATAAAACAATGAAAAATAAACTTAAGTCTTCGTAGTTTACTAAAGAGGCAGATTCAGTGTCAAGGAATACATAAAGCAGTGGGCTTACCTGGGAGTAATCTAGTTGGTTTCTCAGTATTTTTACCTTGCAGAAAAGACAGAAATAGTTATTTTCAGCTAAATTACCCAGGTTTCCAAGGTTGCCTTAACATTATGATCAACAACTTTTTATTGACTTTTAAAAAAGGTACAATTTGATGAAATGTATGATTTTAAAATTAGCACATTTATGGGGTAAACCAACTTTAACTGTATTTCTTACTTCTAAACTTGTAAAGAACTATTTTAAATCTGTCACCAAAACCCAATAAAGGATTTTCCTCAAGATGAAGTCTTTTTAATAAATGAAGTGAGATGTGCAATTCAGATCAAATAAATAAATAAATCAGGTGCTTTTCAAGGTCTACCATTCATTTCCTACACACCTTCTAGGGCCTAGGGGCTGATTTTCAACATGTTCAAGGCCAAAATGTCTTGAAAATCCAGGTTGCTTGCATTGAGTAAACTCTTGGGGGTGGCATACTCATTTAATCTTTTCACAGGTTATTGCTAAAAAATGTCAGCCATTCCCAAGTAAAGTAGTGAGCCAAGATATTTTTAAACCATGTTAGCCACTGTACGTAGGCATAGCAGTGCTTTGAGTTAAATGCTAAAGCTAGCATGGCAACATGCTCACACTGGCAATGCTAACATAATTATGTTTAGCAGGAATTAATGTTAACCGACTTAGTTTAGCATGTTAACATGCTAACATTTGCTAATTAGCACTAAACACAAAATGCAACTGAGGCTGATGTGAATATTATTAGTTCTGCAGGTATTTGGTCACAAACAAAAGTATCACCAAAGTAGTTTGAATGTCAGTAAAATTTCCTCGACAATCCATTTAATACATTTACATTTATTCATTTAGCGGACGCTTTTATCCAAAGCGACTTACAATTGCAATACATGTCAGAGGTCGCACACCTCTGGAGCAACGAGGGGTTAAGTGTCTTGCTCAGGGACACAATGGTGGATGGGTCTCAGTGGGGGTTTGAACCCAGGTGTCTCACACCAAAGGTATAGTCTTATCCACTGCGCCATCGCCACCCCTGTTCGGATATTTCAGTGCTGGACAGACTGACATATGTCATTATACTTTACCTATGAAAGTTCAGCTAAGGCTCCGGATCATTTTATGCATGTAACATGGCCAGAACTATCAGTGACAGAAAGACTAGAAAAATAAAACTGCTGCAGTGGTGTCAAAGACCATTTGTACCTGCTGCAGCTGCTGATGCCATCTCTCCTGGCCAACGATCTGACGGTGGAAAACCACCGGGGCAGCGCTCAAACTGAACGACACCGGCTCTCCCACGCTGCTCTTCACAAACGGCTGCAGGTCAGAGTTCAGCTACAGAAGTAAGAGCACATCAGGCATCAAATCAAATCAAATCAGGTGTCAATCAGGCAGAGACTGCACTTTCTAACTTCCAGGCACCAATTAAACCAACCCAGGGGTGAAAATGTAGACAGGTGAGCGTGCATTCTGCCTACCTACACTCTGTGTGACCCTGTTAATGAGCAGCATGACGGACAATCTGGTGAGAGACACAGCTAGCCTGATGAGGGTAGTTCTCCTTCACAGTGCTCATTTTTGTTTCCCCCCATGCTGAGACTCCCCGTAGCAACTGAGGCCTGCAGACAGGCAGCTACAGGGAGTCACAGCAGGAGAGAACGTACCAACACAGTGCTGTGAGTGGAAACATTATGAATGTGAACGCCTATGAAACTTAATAAAATGTTTGAGCATCTGCATTATCTGCTGCATTCACGTTACATAAAAATTACATTTTAGCTTGCCGCAAATCAACCTTCCACCTAATTCCAAATTTTTATGTTTGTCTCAACATATTTCATCTGCATTGTTTTAGTGCAAATATACTCCTCTGTCCCCTTTTGTTTGATCGGAAGACATACTATAATAATATTATTACACTACAATTATCCACTGAGACAGATACTGCTGCTTCCTGCAGATAAGTGGGACAAGCAGCCAATCAGCTGCCTGTTTGAAGCAGACTTATTCCTTTACTTTATTTGAACTTGATCACAGTTGGAAAAGAAAGAGTAAGGTAGTCAGGAGGGACAAACTTTCTGTACAGTGAAAGCCCCTGAAAACCTTAAGCACTGTATTGGCCCAAATATAAGAAAAAATATTTGTCCTGGAAATTAGGTTTGAAAAAGTAGGGGTTGTTTTATATTTAAGGACACTTATACATTCAGCAGATTTTCTTTTTAAATGGAGACAGTAACAGTGTAACACTGGCTCTTATGTGAGTGGTGCATTATGGGTCGTTTGTAGCCTTAATGTTGCTAGGATAGCAAGTTTCTTCAAGTTTGTTTATAGTGTATCTTCAACATTTAATCTGCCCTAAAAGTGTTTAGTGAAACCTCCCAACATGGGGGGCAACATATCCCATATCAGGTCATAACTTACTGCTAACTACCATTAGCTTGTTAGCTAAGTTAGCCATGCAGCTAACTTATCAGTCCTATTAGCTGACTGAGTCCAAAATGGGCACCAGACCCAGAGCCGGAGAAGCAGGCATGAGCAGGCAATGGAAGAGGGCTCAGCAGGCCAGTGATCATGGCGGGACCGGGACTGAACACAACCTACAAAGCCGACGGAGTCCAGTTCGATGACAGGCTGAACACAACTCTGACTCTGGGGACGATGAAGATATGGCGGGTTTTGGTGGACAGGAGAAGTGTAAAGCGGGAGAGAGCGAGAGTTAGGTTGGGTATCAGAGAGGCAGCGACAGTGTGTTGAGCCAGAATATTATCAGATCTAATGTTAGGAATTAAAATTTTTTTTGATCAAATCAGAGACGGTGAGAATAACCAAGACGCTTTTGGTGAGTTTTATTTAGTTTCTGTGGAGTTTAAAGTGTGTTTTACGATGAGTTAACAAGGCAACTGAATATGTAGGTGTAAGTTTACCGTTGTAGCTCTAAGAATATTCCTTTTTTGACATTTTGTTTATTTTGTTTGTATATTATAGTATTGTATACTAGAGATCTTGTGTTACATAGCAAACTCCATCTCGCACATATCTCCCAGCTGAAACTACTATTAAACTATACTATAACTATGCTCTGTGATCGCCTCTCGTGGTAGGTAGGTGGCTGGGGCCATCTGGTTAACATGCTAACTTCAGTAGATACATAGACGTCTTTCAAATAACATCAGCTGTTACTTCTTCACATTCTGTTGATAAGGTTAGTTAATTTTTTTGGATGTTTTAAACAAAAATATTTTACACATTGCACCATTAATGGAAGTATTTGATGTTTCAAGGATATAGACTCTCTCTTAGTATCTCTGGGAAACTTTCTCAACCAGGCTAGTCTAAAAGTATTTTCCTATCATTCAGTAAGAATCACAAAAGTAGCCCACTGGTGTGGCAGATGAACTCTATTGATTTATCCTTTGTTGATTTAACATCTGTGTTGTTTGCCGTGTGGCGAGTTGGACACTCAGATTAGATTTACCTTATGGCCCAGTGATAGGTGCTTGCCGTACTTGTAGGCCAATCTTTGAGACTCCTTGTCGTGTTTGGCAAGCTTCATCGCAGCTTGACAGCTCTTGGCCAGCAGTGCCCCGTGGGACAGGAACGTCTGCTCCTCCCACGTCGCCACGTCGACGCCATCGGTCAGACCATTCTCCTGCAGAGCAAACAGAGGCAGAGACACCACGGGCCTGAGCTCTCACTGCTTCTACTGTACAACTTCAAAGTTCCCACAGAGCACCTCAGAACTCCACAGTCAAAACAACCCCTCCTTGCTCTGTGATTTTATATTTCAGTATGCAACCGGTTGTGCACCAGAGAGTAAGAGCAATTTAACACAGTATTTCCCACAAGTTCTTCAGTTATTTGGAAAAGAGGGAAGCTGGGAGAGGGACACAGCACCAGAACAGGAAAAACACTCTTGTAGCTCTGCAAACAATTTGAATATGTCCACAAATAAATCCAACATAAAACATTATAACAACCATATGTACTACATAGTTAAATAGACCATCTCTGTACAGATGTAGGTTTTTTAGGACTTTGATTTGGAAAATAGAGACAAAACTTCAGTGTAAGTGGTCAATTAATCCTCAAGCATTTTCTAGAATAAACAGACAGATGCCAAAACTGAAAATTGCCTCAGGTACACAGTGACATTACTCTGAACTCTTCCGTTGGAAAATGAACTAGCTGTTAAATACTGCAGAACCTAAATGCACTGTAAAATAAGGGAAACATTTGCTCACTGGTACTCAAAGACACTGTGGTCAGTTTGAAATCTCTTATTAAATACTCAGCTAGTAACGCCTTAAAGGCAGAATGAGTAGGATTTTCCTGAAAAAACAAAAACAAAAACATTTCTGGTTGTCAACCTTTCGGCAGTGTGTGTGTAGCCCCCAGCCAATAAATGTGTGCATGGTGTGAGGGCGGCCAGGTACCAGATTGCAATTCAATCAAAATCAGAAATACTTTATTGATCCCAGAGGGGAAATTTTTGTGTCACATTGTACATCAAACAGTGATATGAATAATAATAGAAAGTTTCCTAAAATTTTGGATAAAGCTCATTCCAAAACGAGAGTGAAACTGTGGTTTCTAAAAAAATGTTACGCAAACATAAGTAAATACTGCATTTACTGGGGAGTATTTACAGCGTCGGATTAATCCACATTTGGTGCTCTGTGAGTGTTTTCCAGCCGCAGGATGGTATATATGTGACTGACTCAAAATAAACATAGGAACATGTCACCCAGTGCAACAGTGTGGCTCACTGATGTGTTTTTTAATAGCTTTTGGACAACAATGGAGCTCTGTGGCACAGAGGAAGAAGATATATCAGGCTTTGGAGACCGACACAATACCTGCTAGTAGGATCACTTACTGTTGGTTTTGGTATTTTCAGGAAATTTATGAACAATAGCAAATATATTGGATAACAGAAGACCTTTCTTTCATTTACACCTCTTTCTATGGTTTGAATGTATCTTATTATTTTGTTGTGAAAGATGTATTCTGCCATAGGACAACAGATGCTTTACCTCAGTATTGTTGGAATTCTCACAGTATATTCCTTGAACTAAATCACCGATGGCACTTGAGATCAGTTCAACAACCTGTCAAACAGAAGAAAAAAAAGATACATTTGTTTTCAGTCAATTTCAGTCTTTTAGCATTATTTTCACATTTACACATCATCCCCTGTTATCTGCTGAACTGAGAAAAGACAAAGCTAAATAATGGGTTTGATCTGCACAACAGTCAACATGTCCATCAACAGCCGCGAGTCCTGTTGAAGTGTCCTTGGACTCGGGCACTGAACCGATAACCTACTCCCTCATTATACAGGTGCTGGTCATATAATTAGAATATCATCAAAAAGTTGATTTATTTCTGTAATTCCATTCAAAAAGTGAAACTTGTATAATGTATACATTCATTCCACACAGACTGATATATTTCAAGTGTTCATTCCTTTTTTTTTTTCCCATTCCTTTCATTTTGATGATTAGAACTGACAACTAATGAAAACCCCAAAATCAGTATCTCAGAAAATTAGAATATTGTAAAAAGGTTCAATACTGAAGATACCTGGTGCCACACTCTAATCAGCTAATTAACTCAAAACACCTGCAAAGGCCTTTAAATGGTCTCTCAGTCTAGTTCTGTAGGCTACACAATCATGGGGAAGACTGCTGACTTGACAGCTGTCCAAAAGACGACCATTGACACCTTGCACAAGGAGGGCAAGACACAAAAGGTCATTGCTAAAGAGGCTGGCTGTTCACAGAGCTCTGTGTCCAAGCACATTAATAGAGAGGCGAAGGGAAGGAAAAGATGTGGTAGAAAAGTGTACAAGCAATACAGATAACCGCACCCTGGAGAGGATTGTGAAACAAAACCCATTCAAAAATGTGGGGGAGATTCACAAAGAGTGGACTGCAGCTGGAGTCAGTGCTTCAAGAACCACCACGCACAGACGTATGCAAGACATGGGTTTCAGCTGTCGCATTCCTTGTGTCAAGCCACTCTTGAACAAGACACAGCGTCAGAAGCGTCTCGCTTGGGCTAAAGACAAAAAGGACTGGACTGCTGCTGAGTGGTCCAAAGTTATGTTCTCTGATGAAAGTAAATTTTGCATTTCCTTTGGAAATCAAGGTCCCAGAGTCTGGAGGAAGAGAGGAGAGGCACAGAATCCACGTTGCTTGAAGTCCAGTGTAAAGTTTCCACAGTCAGTGATGGTTTAGGGTGCCATGTCATCTGCTGGTGTTGGTCCACTGTGTTTTCTGAGGTCCAAGGTCAACGCAGCTGTCTACCAGGAAGTTTTAGAGCACTTCATGCTTCCTGCTGCTGACCAACTTTATGGAGATGCAGATTTCATTTTCCAACAGGACTTGGCACCTGCACACAGTGCCAAAGCTACCAGTACCTGGTTTAAGGACCATGGTATCCCTGTTCTTAATTGGCCAGCAAACTCGCCTGACCTTAACCCTATAGAAAATCTATGGGGTATTGTGAAGAGGAAGATGCGATACGCCAGACCCAACAATGCAGAAGAGCTGAAGGCCACTATCAGAGCAACCTGGGCTCTCATAACACCTGAGCAGTGCCACAGACTGATCGACTCCATGCCACGCTGCATTGCTGCAGTAATTCAGGCAGGAGCCCCAACTAAGTATTGAGTGCTGTACATGCTCATACTTTTCATGTTCATACTTTTCAGTTGGCCAACGTTTCTAAAAATCCTTTTTTTAGTAAATAATATTCTAATTTTCGGAGATACTGAATTTGGGATTTTCATTAGTTGTCAGTTTTAATCATCACGTCTGTGTGTAATGAATGAATATAATATCCAAGTTTCACTTTTTGAATGGAATTACTGAAATAAATCAACTTTTTGATGATATTTTAATTATATGACCAGCACCTGTAAATCACTCTGACTAACAGCATCGATGAAACTCCTAAAATGTAGATGTAAATGAGGTCGATCAGAACTGACACGCTTAGTTCATCCGTGACATTTGTAATTAAAAACCACAATTTCCCTTGATTGAAGCACGAGCTAACAGCGCTCCCATCTGAACAGCTGGTTTGGTGAATAAATCAGAGATGAGATGAGGGTTGGAAACCAGGTGAACTGCTGCAAACTCAGCTGCTCATTATCGGGCCATAGGGGGGCCTCTGTTGATTTCACTAAGCAGACCCAGGCTTGCCTTCATTCATTAAACTTTGTATTTATAGAGAAGTCCAGTCGATAGAGACAGATCAGGTGTCTGTCCAGTCTGAGGGGCTGAAATGGAGCTAAAGGCAGATGGTGAGACGAAATAAGACTGTGCCCAGACAGCAGAGGGGTTAACAAGGTTTTGGAGTGATGATCTGACTTCGGGGTCCTCAATGCTCTCCTTTTTCTCCACAAATTATTTGAAGATTTATTTCACCTTGTGCCTTTGAGCACTGCAGATTTGCATCATAAATCTGTTGATACTTACAGTATCTATCCTTTGGTGGTTTTCTGCAGAAGTGGCACAGAATTAAAAGTATATAAATATACAAGGAAAAAATATGCTGCTTTTGGGAAAATGAAAACAACATTTTTAAATGGGCAACAACTACACCGCACACAGTGTCTTGTCAAGCTTGGGCAGTTTAAGACTGCAGTTGCCCATTTCCTCTTACAGGGGGCATGCATGACTACAGTTTAGCTTACAGAAACACAACCCCTTTAGAAACTACCAGAGCAGAGGCTGCATCTTTTCAAATGATTATTTTAAATCTGGATTTAATAAATGAGTAAATCTAAACTTCTCTCTAAACTCTCTGTCCTTCATTCACAGCCAAAGAACACTGAGGACAGAGGAGTTGAGGCCACGCCTGTACAGTTCAGATGAATGAGGTTACATTTAGAGCTCCTTCAGCTCATCCCAGACACCCTTGGTTCATCAAATAAGTCTGGTGACGCTGGCTGTTCCGTCAGCCTCGCAGTGCCCTTTGGGTAACTGAATCCACCGGGGGAAAATATTGAGGAAACCCGAGCTTCGCCCACAGACCTGGAAGGACAATGTGCCTACAGTATTACCAGATGTGGTGTCTCTGCCTGCCTTGGGAAGTGGGGGCCAGTGGGGGTCTTTTTTTGGAAAGTATCAGATAAGCTCTCCCCCTGTCCCCCCCTTACTCCATTCCCAAATCCAGCCAGATCGTGTTTTGCCGACAGGTCTGTGAGGGGGGAGAAACCGGAGCTCCACGGTGAGATTACTTTACAGTTTATACAAGTAGTGGCATAGGTTTCCTCTCAAGGCCACGGCACACAATATCCATCACTCTCACTGCCTTAAAAGAAAAAAAAAAGTCTGGTTTATGAGAAAAACTTCGAAAGCTGCAAGAACTGCTCATCTGTCACCCCGTGTATTAAAAAGATGTGGTACAATGACCACACACGAGCTGCAAGAAAAGACAGGGGAGACAATCCACTGTTCAGCACTCAGTTTAACACATTTTGAGTTATAAACATCAGACAATGAACAGATTTTAATGAGTGAAAAGGAAATGATTTACAGCCTTTATCGCATTTTCCTAAGGGTCGTTCTGTGTTGAAAACTGCAGCAATATATTTATGTTTTTTTCATCCTAAGGAGCTAAACCTGGTTGTTTTAAAAAGGCCACTCCACCATCACATGAAGTTCAGCTTACTCATCATGAAGAGTACTAGTCAGCCTGTGAAAACAGTCGTATAATGGTCTTTGTGGCTCTGCAAGAAGTTTTTAAATAGTATTTGAACTGTTTCGGTTTTGACAAATTTTTTAAAATCTGTCTCTTGCGAGTCCGCTAACGTAATGGAAGTGCAATGCTAAATGCTATCTCACAACTACATAGCTCTAATCAGAGTGAAGTCTTAATTTCCATCCTAGTTACAGGCCCCATCCACACTTTGTTTAAAAAACGCACATCTAGTGGCCGTTCATGTACACTGGGCATACCGTGGCGGTGTAAACATAAAGCAGATGGTCTATTCTGTAGTTTGGCGAAAGAATAGAGTAAAGCAGACAAAGAACCACACCAGATTTTATTTTGCATGGACCAACGAGCTGGGACTGTTACTGAATGTAAAACGAAAGTTAAAAGCGGCTGTGGCAGCAGAAAACAGCCTGGGATTTGTCATAAAGTAAATACGGCGACATACACAGTGCAAGTGTAGGCTATAAGTGTGATTTGCACAGTACAAAATATTTTAAGAAAAAAACCCTGTCAAAAACTCTGTCAGTAGCATTATGTTTCTACTTTGCATGGCTTACGAGACCCAATCAGAGAGCCAAACGTGAGCGTCTGCGTCATCGTTTCTTAAGTCCTCCGTTTTTGCCCGTACGCACTAAAACGCTCGCCGGATTTTCTAAACGAAAAACGGGGTCTGCAGCGTTTTCAAACTTCTCCGTTATAGCCATTAGTCTGGACGGGAGGTGCAAACGCAGTAGTGTGGATGGGGCCACAGTGTACATCTCTCCAATGCTTCACTTTAACTGAATGCACCAGTAATGGAGATCACTCTAACTTCTTTCCTTAGGTATTTATCCCATTGATGCGATAGGTGCCATTAGCGCTTGGTTGTTGAAACAGGTGACATGCCGTGTGTTCTAAAACCAGCCACTGGTGACTAGACAAGCTGAATCGCAGGCAAGTTACCAGTCAGCTTGCGTTGAGCTGAGATGGGCGAGATTACACCGGTGCAGTGTCTCATCTTGAATCTTTGGTTTGAACTGACCTTAACACTGGGACTTCTTATTCATGTTGGCTTAAAAGTTGCTCACGACAGTATTTTAGGCACAGTTTGCCAAATATGAGAACTACTTTTTAAAAAGGTCCTAATTTCCAAGATTTTAATTTAATTTCTTGATATGAAATCACCTCTACATATTGTTTTCTTTCATCCACAGGAAAGAAAGAAGTGAACAGGATTTGGGTAACCCATCATCCTACCTGTTTAAAAACTTTTGTTAAAACAAATCCCATTCCTGCTACTTGAGTTTGCAGTGATCCAATTCTAATTTCTCTCCTGTCCATAAACCAGTGAAGAACAGCTTCACAAAAACACAGCTGAATATGAGCACCAGTGCATACTGTGGTTTACCCTCAGTCCATTTTGTTTTGCTAACCTTTTCAAACATGAGTAACTGCTGGCTATCAGATGTCTGTCTCGTTAGTACCCTTAACCACTTTGGGGACGTTTCCTGTGGCTGCTTCAGATTACATTCACACTCCCTATAAACAGCATTGCAGATTTATTAACAGTTTCAAGCACTGCTGTGTGGTAATTCTGTGCCATCAGAGTTTGAATGGCATAGTTGTCACCGTGACACTGAGCCACACTACAAAGAACAGATGCTGCAAAACTCAACCGATACCAACTTGTTTGGCATGATTGCACAATTAAACTTAACTTATCATTAGGTCAAGTCATCTGTAGATCTTTCATTCTCAAGTGTATTTTTCATCTTCCAGGGAAACAACAGTTTCAGTTCCATTACTGTAATTTGTAGCTTAGCCACAGAGTGACAATTATCTCTCATAGTCCTGTTGTAGTGACAAATCCTAATTGGCACTGTAAAGGAAATGCCACACCTTACGACTTATCTTTAATTTATTAAGAAAATGTTGGGTCCTTATAACCTCTGCAATGTTTCCAATACACAAAGCACCATGGACACCACTTACATCATATCTTGGAAGGGCGTCTCTTGGTTGCACAGAACAGAGACCCAGACTGTGTGTGCTGAATAAGAAGCGGCAGGGAAGGCGATAAGGGCTGGTCCAGCTGATGGGGGGGCGGGGGACTGTTATTTTGATCCACTCAGGCAACCGCATTCTGACAGAGCAGCGTGGTGACAGCATCTGTCAGCGAGGGGTTACCAGGCTACGTAGCAGATATGATCTGTGGTGCACTTACAAGACCACCACCACACACCCGTCCAAAATTGAAAACTCAATAAGAAGGATTCCCATGGTGTACATGTCTATGGTGTCTCGTGACCACATTTGCGACCATACATATCAGCCCGAAGGCAATCAAATTTAAGAAATTGTGTGTATCTGGGTCCTGGTATGATATTCACCATGACTGAACAGAAAAACAAAGGAGGGCCACCTTAAAACATTCCAGGTACCAAAACACCCAAAGCAAGGACCTCATAGTCCCACCTACGCCACTGGTACCCACACTTTCTGACTTGTCAACTAGCCAAGCGACATCTACACGAGTTGAGACCCCTAAACACAGGTTGCAGACAGCTTAACCCAAGACTGATGTTGATGGTTTGTAGAGACCTAAAGAGGTAAAACTCACCAGTTTTTCACAAGAATAACCACCACCAACTGTCGATCGGCGAAATAACATGAATTCGGCAGGTGTGTATCAGGGGGCCCACGTGTGTGCACAATGCAACCAAACCTGGCACCCACATGTAAAAGCAATGCTCCATAGGGCTACTAGTGGTCAAAAACACCACAGGGTATCTTTAAAGTTGTTCACATTGTTTAAAGAAATATGTAGATTTAGGAGTTATTGTTTCTGTAGGTTGTATTACAAAAACCTGTGTCAATCTTATCCACATCTGTCTGTTGCTAGCTATGAAGGAAAATGTCGTCCTATTGAACTCTGATTTGTCAGTTGTTTCCCTAACTGGCGAAACAGCCATTAATAGGCGATCTCATCCATGCTTGTTGATAATTCCATTGGTCAATTTTTTTTTCTAGCCGGGAGAAACAAGCGCCAAGTGTGGCAACACCAGACCTATTTGAGTTACTGAACCCATCTGATATGTGAGTGGCAATACAGAGCTCTTGAACCAGGCTAATCTTGTTGATCATCCCCTTTGGGGCCACTGACCCCCAAGTTGGTAATCACTGGGATACACTGAATGAAAAGGGATCTCTCTCAAGTGCAGTCTAAAAACATCACATTGGTGCACAGTCAGCACCAGTGATTCCGACTAAATAAAAACATGAGGATATTGCAGATTACTACATATTGTTGTTGGATGAATAGGACTCCATGATCAGTGGGAACTCTGCAATTTATATATACTTACTGCAAGCGTGAGATGTTGAGTTTGGATGTGGTAGAGAGAGAAAAGATGTAGGAATGAAGACCGACGCTGATACGTGGAGCTGTAAGGACCGCTGGGAGCTCATATTATTAAGACAGCGGTGTTTCTCATTAATATCACTGATGTCAGGTCAGATATTTCACATAGCTACAGTTTGTTACTGACAGACAGGGTACCTTGGTGTTATTTAGTTGGGCAAGTCCGGTACAAGCATTCGCTAACAGGAAGTCGCCGCTCAGGACAGCCATCTTATTCCCAAACTGCATGTCCTTCAGCGGGCCGTCTGAAACTGTCCACTCCTTCAGATTGACGATCCCACGATGAACCAGGAACGCTGTGTGGATCAACTCAGTGATTTCTGCCAAGTTCCGCTGGCTATGAAACAGAAAGAATAAAAAAAGAATACAAGGTTGTTTTTTTTTGTCAACAGCTTTTAAGAGAGGCATTCCAGAGGCGTTCCAGAGGCTTGACAGGTAGAGAGCTTTTTGACAGAAACCTTTTTATTGTCTTTATGCTGCTGAAATATGCAGGTTTCAGTCACAGCGTCACGTACAGATGTGCTGAACACAAAGGAATCAATCAAAACAAAGGATTTGTGGGTTTTATTTCATCCTTCTAGCAAAAGGGAAAAACAAATATTTATAAAAGTACAATATTCAGATTGTGGAGTCTCATTTGCAATTTGACTTAAACATACAACACCGCTCCAAACAACAACTGTTGTGATCATCACAGTTCATTCAACTGCTATCTGAAATGTACTGACTAGACAGCTTTAAAGAAGAAATTACTGTGTATCTTAAAATGATAACTACAATTTGGTTTAAAAACCTTACAAGTCGTCGAAGTCAAGGGCATAAACCAGCGTATACTATGTCAGACATCCTGCTGCACAGCATGTCAAGGGCTGCGTTAAAAAAAGAAATTAAACTTATCATTAGCAAATAACAGCCATTCTTGATTATGTGAGAAAAGACATAAAAGTGGTCTTTGAATAGAGCCTTTCAGAGCAGACTTAGGGAGGTTATAATCAAATGTTGATTCAGCCATTGGTGGTGGATAATTAGGCCCCTCTCCATATGGAAGGAGCTCGCCACGCTGTGACAGGAGGGATCCATCCAGACAGGGTTGGGTGCGCTGATAGCCACTTATGACCTTCTTTCAGCCGCTGTGAGAACCTGATGAGCCAGTCGTCTGCCTTGCGCTCCAACCCCTTCCTATACACACTCACACATGCATGTGTCTTGTAGCCAGGTAATTGCCATGTTCGACGTTGGCGTGAAAAAGATGTGATTAAAATTCAATAATGTCATCTATTTTGCCTCTCAATCACACCCATTGTCTGGTTGGTTTCTCTGCTCGGTGACGCAGAGCAACAACACAGTCGTCCCGAATGAGTGTTAATAAGTTCAGGGTTTAAATAAGAGCAAATTAAGAAATTGACAGTCGCGTGTTCTCAAGGTGCCTCAGAGTGATGGCTACGGCTCGACAGGTTTCAAGAGGAGAACTCATTGTTACAAGAGAAAGATGATGAAGAGCTGTGGCTGATTTCAGCTCACAAAAAATATCATCTTAAATTTATTTTGAGCAAAAAACCAAAAAAAACAACCCAGAATAAATAATTTGTGATGAACCTGTCATCTGCTCATGCTTTTGGATTCACATCAATAGTAAATTGTCACTATCCATCAAGGTGGAAAACTACTGTTTTGAAAAGTTACACAGCAGCATTAATCAGCCATTGTATCATCTTATAAATGTCTGACCACACGTCATAAATGTTTGATTGTGGCTCTGCATAGTTGTCAAAAATGCCCAAGCTACAGAGTTGTTACAGTAATATGAGTAGTAAATCCAGTAGTTGATGCATTCTTGAACTGTAGTTCGTGTTCTTCGTTTCAGTTGTTACTGAAAAATGTGCTCACCCAAAAATACAAAATTAAACGTGGCAAGAACATGTTGAACACGATAAGTACAGCCAAAGACTAGTGTGCTCCTCAGGCTCCATCTAAGAAACTCAGAGTTGTTGTGCATATTAAGCAATCAGAAGCTGACTGTGGTGATTATTAGTCCAAATTAAATATTCTACAATGAAATATAGACCTAGTTATCTATTGCAAATTAAATATTACAAAATATGAATTAAAGAGTGCTCCTTATATTTAGTATGGCACTCGTAACACTGTTGGACCTGCAATGGACAGATGGATCAAAACTGACGCAGTCAGAACCTGGCACCTACATTAGCCACACTATAAATCGGCCACCAAAAGCATTGTTGTATATTTGCACGTATTATGCTTGTAGCAGCTTAGATATTTTTCATTTTCAAGCTTGTATTCTTTCACCCCTGACTGACTCAAGTGACATCACTTGAGGAAATGTATCTGACTTTATTCAGCTTCCCCTCCAGACACAATATGAACTTTAATGTGTAAAATCAGTGGAGTTCCTCTTTATGAACATTTACATAAAGTCCTCTCCTCGGTATCAATTGTTCTAAAAATGATTATTTTTAAAGAGACGAAAGGAATAAAGTCCTATGTTGTGATAGAGTTCATTTTCTCCAAAAAACTACTGAGAAACTGTTTACTGTTTCACATGACAGATCAAGGTACTTCATCACACATCAAAAATCAATTTCCATAAATTCCTCACCATTGATATGCAAGATTACTCAAAATGGCCTGAAACACCCACAGATATTAAAGGGATTTCTGTGGTGGCATAAATAGCCTGGCAATATCTCTGACAATTGTCTTGCAGCATTTATACATATATCATCATATCACCAAACACTTACTCATAGGGTAAAGCGAGAGGTCAGAATTGTATTGCTTTGGCTTCACTGGGCACTTTCAGTGTCCCATGATGGTCAGCATGTGTAAGAAACCCACCCTGACAGGAATGAAGTAATATGAGGAAACACAAGTGTTGAACAATAGCACAAAGTACTGGCCTCCAAAAACCCAAATCAGTCGAACCCCAGTGCATCCACATCCCAAAGCTGTGCCTCCAATCTAGCACTCCTGATCAGCAGCAGTGGAGCTTGGGGAGGAAAAAGGGGGACAAGGGGGCCGGTGTATAAATAGCTTTGGTGCCCAGTTGCATAGCAACCGATGCCATCTTGCCGAGGTGTAACGCCCCTCACCACGCCCCTTGTCCTGACTGTTCTGTTCCATTTTCCTCCCTCCGCAGTCTGCCTCGCCATCAAATACAGCCTTGCAGATCTGAGTGCATCCCTGTGTGTGATTTAAAGAGGTGGCCTGTCCATCAGACAGGCTGCGTGATGTGTTCAATGGCATGGCTTTCATTTGTCACAAGAAATTAAAAGGTGTAGTGGGCACAAGTTGGACTATCTGTGAGTCTGTCTATCTATCTATCTGTCGATCTATCTATCTATCTTGGTGGTGCTTTGGTGAATCATCAGTGTCAGGCAGCAGAGTGGGAAATGTTTTACAAATGCTGCCTGTCAGGAGGGAGGAGACCATCCCCCGGAGGTTTCAATCACCCTCCCAAACCCGTCCCACCCCGACTCCCTCCATCCTTCCATCAGAGGTGCTAATGAGCCCAGGAGAGGTGGGGGAATTGCTTAGGGGAGAGAGAGCAAGATAGTGCAAATGAGGTGATCAAGTCATGCTGTGTGTGTTTGGGTTTGGACTATCCATCACACATGAGTGAGGGAATGCTGCATGTTGGATTCCGTGATCCAGTGACACTGTGACACGAGTGCCATGTTGTGACATTAGGAGAGTGTGTAGTCGTCCTGTAGTGAGACACAACCTGCTGAAAAAGGCTCAGCCTCACAGCCTGCAAAGGACTGGACTCAAGCGCTTCCATGACGCCCGGGTTATTCCAATTACTTCTAATATTGGGATGTTTCTGCACAGACACGGCTCCACTACACATATGTGCCTTGTGCCAGCTTGCAGTAAGAAAGAAGCCTTTCAGGCACTCAGCGTACAGCCACGCCAAACACAGCAGTCACTTCTGGAAACCACTTGGCACACACCCACATCCCTGTTGTGAGGTAGTCATGTGTGTGTGAAAGCCAGAGAGGACCTTGGGGTGCTACCTGAAGCATTTTCATAGCAGTGCATTAATACCAAATTCAACTCTTTAAATATGAATAAATAAATCAATATACATATGTTTGTAACATCAACTGCATAAAGCAATTTTCTAATATATGCTATATCAGGACTAACGAGCCGCTCCGTAAAGGCTGTCATGCTTCCTGTTAAAAACTCTAAACCGATGTCTAAAGCTGAGAGTTTTCATTTCTTTTTGATATTTAAAAGTTGTGGTGAAGTAAATGTAATAATTAGCTGGCGAGTGGTGTCAAAATAGCAAAACAAGCACAGATAATTAATAGCAAATAATGGAAAATGTTTTGCTGCCAAGAGAAATTGTTGTGTATATTAGTTAATCGTGTTAGCATACACATTTGCTAATGTGCAAACTAGCACTTAACACAAAAGTACAACTGAGGCTGATGGGAATGTCATTTGATTTTCTCTTCACAAAAGGCATTCAACCCTGAATGACTTTATTGTTCTGTCTCTGTAGTTATGTGTAAAGCGTCCTTGGGTCCCGTGAAAGGTGCTATAAAAATATAAGTTATTAATATCATCATTATTATTATTAAAGTCCATCCAATAGTTGTTGAGATACTTCAGTAAAAAAATGTCAACCTCATGGTGGCACTAGAGGAAAATCCAGGGGATGAGCAAAGTCATTGGGGCTTATTTTATCTGCCATAGCATGAATGTCTGTGTAAAATTTCATGTCAATCTATCCAGTAAGTATTTCTGTCTGAACCAAAATGGTGGACCGACCTACCTGTCCATTGAGTCATGCCACTAGCATGGCTAAAGACTTTACATATTCTTTATTCATACAGCCCCAGTTTGGATAATTCTGTCAGGTTGATGTATTTCTATTGCTAGAAAGTACTGGGGGATGAATTTAACAAGCACAGAGGGATGATCTCAACATCCAAACTGCTGTGTGGATGTTGAGATGGTCACGTGCCATGTGAGGTCATTTAGAAATTTAAATTTAAGTTTAAACAAAAATGGCTTTTAAGCATTTTTCTCTCTAATTCATCTCCTTATTATTACACAGCAACAAGGGAGTTTTTTAAAAGTTTTTTTCCAATTAGCAACAATCTAAAAAAACCCAAAAACAAATAAAATAAAAATCTTCTGGTCGTGCAACTGTGGCTGTACTGCCCCCTCATTCCATCATATTTGCAAGGTGATGTAGTGCTTCATTTACAGGAATTGATATGGACGATAACCACAGAGGACAAGATAGAATTACCTGACACACGGATTTTATTTCACTATTTATCCTTCAGCAGCCATGTAACACAGACCAAAGTGGCATCGCCTTTCTCGCTCTGCTTGCCATGCACATTTATGGCTCTACAATGCAATTTTACACATGTTTACTGCCCATTGTTTTCTCCCAAGCAGCACATACATGATAATGGAAATATGTGGAGGCCAGAAAGATTATCTGCTAGTGTGGGGTTACAGATAATAATAGCTGTGGATTTGGGGGAATAAAGTGTGGTGAGTTGGAGAAGAGATGTGTGATGTGTTTTAATTTTGATGGAAACTAGCTATTTAACATTTTAAAAAATCCTTCAAGGGCATAATGTCTTTTTATACAATGTTATGCCAATGAGCTCCCTAGTTACCACAAATGTAATAGCAAGTGATTACATTTTTCACAGATAGCCACGCTTTAGGGAATTTCCTGCATAGGGGGAAGATTCACCATTGCATCCTGCTGTTGTTGATACTTGCACCATCTAGAGCTGCTCAAACACACACTCAGGAACTGTAACAGATGTCAGGAAGTGTGAGAAACATAAACCAAAAACAAAGCCAGAAGAACAGCTTACTGGATGCTTTAAATCACATTTGATGGATCCTATTAGTAATGGGCAAAGCTGCAGTGCATACACAGCCTTTAGTCCCTAACTTGCCATCTTATGACTCAAAACCAATGTAAAATAACGCAAACAGCTTTCCTGAACACCCAACCCTGGTATCAGAAACTTCAGGTAATTTACCTGGGGTAGATGCCGCTGACCATGTCCTGAGCCAGGAGGTCAGAGGCTGCGTGGCTCGGCCCGGCGGCTTTCGACAGAAGTAGTACGATCAGTCCCCTCATCTGAAGGTTGTTCCTGCTGTCGTAAACAAACCCCCTGTGAAACACCATCAGTAGATTAAAATACAAATAGACAAACACCAGAAGCTTGTGATTAATCCATTTGCATACTTTAAGTAATAAGGATACGTGTTCAAATAGCTCTGTTTTCTTTGTAGTCCTTGATAATAAAAGCATACACGCTATAGTATACGGAACTAATTGCAAAGTTCGTCACAGTGTCACCATTTACAAAGTGCCACAATACATTAAACAATCCTTACATGTTACTTCCAAAGAAAGCTTCCTTTGTCCTCCTTTGTGCTGAAAAGCAGCCTTGCTGAGTTTAAGCAAAATCCAATAAGGAGTTCCTCAGAGTACTGGAAAAGATATTTCAAACTGGGAACTACGTTGGTGAGAGCGGTGAGCCAGCTGACAGCGGGTGGCAAAACCAAAACAATGAGTTAAAGGATGCTGAAAGGCTACATAGAGCTGATTAGGCACGTGATAATTCGCAGCGAGTCACCATGACCGATCCCATTCACATTACAATTAAGTCATTTGAGTCATTCTTAATAAAAGAATATTGATATTATACAGGGAATTTAAAAGATGTTATAGAGTATACCAGTGGTAGCTTAGTCCTGCATATTTGACTATTACAACCTGATGCCATGATGCAAATTTGTACCATAAAATGTTCTTCAACTTTATTTATCGTGCATGGTAGAAAAAAAACAAAAAAAAACAGGAATATAATTGACCAGTTTTGCTGCAGGAGTGTATTTTTCTTTTGGGCTGGTGGGGGGAGATACTCCCGCCCACCCAGCCAACAACCTTCTGATACATTCTCACACAAACACTCACACAAACACACACACACACACACACACACACAGAGCCCAGTGGTCGCTGCCTGCGTGGTGGGCAGATTAAATATCTTTTTACTCTCTCTGGGGAGCGGTTAGACAGAGCACCTCTAATCCTGTCCCTATGGGAGCCCCTTGTGCCATGAATCACGCTCTCGTTAGGGGCTCCGAGGCAGACAAGCAGCCACGCCCCCCTCCGCTCGATGCCCAGACACCGGCTTCACCAAGCCACCTCCACCCCCACCCTCTCTGACCCACCCCTGCACCACAGGGGGAGGTGGAGGAACCAGAGACAGAGAGTGGATGTGAGAGATAAAGCATGAAGAGAGGGAGGGGTCAGAGAGAGATGGAGGGAATAGAGGCCAGGCAGAAGCGAGAAGAGATGACAGAAGATATGCATTAGTGATTCACAGTGTTGTGGTACTGAAAGGAGGGGGGGGGGGGGGGGGGTATGAATACTCATACCCTGAAGCTTTGTTCCTTCCCAAAAAAACATAAAACACCTCATGCTGCTTTAAAAAAAAAAAAGAATGTAAATACATCTGACACTGTGTATGGCTGTCTTTCATCACAGCTCATGAGATTTATTTATATTCACTCAAAAATCTTTACTCAGTTGGAAAATAGGGATTAGCCTGGCACAGTGATGAACGCAGGAACAACAACGGCTAGAGAGCAAAAATTATGAAGCCACTCTCCTCTTGGGGAGTCCGCGTGTGCCAACGGCCTGAGGGTGGCAGATGATTAATATTTATGTCACTATCCACACCAGCATACATCAATCAATCACAACCGCCCTCCTGCAAAGGGGTGGGGCAAGGAGGATGTGGAAAAAGAGAGATAGTGAGGGCTACAGAGAGGGAGAGAGGGAGAGGAAAGAGAGGAATGGGCTGCTGTCATTTTAAAGGGTTGCGAACAGGTCACCACGCCTTCTGCTCCACAACTGCAGCGCAGGAATTCAGGAACTTTAGCTGCCGTATGCAGGAGCTGGATTTAATACATGCAAATGTATGACCTCACATGTGCGTTGTCATTTAGATTCTCTGTCTGTCTATTTCCCCCCCCTTCAAGTGCTGAAAGAATGAATGAATGTGTCCAACATACCTTCACTTTTCTAAAGGAGAGAATTTCTGCAATGAATCCATCTCTATACTGTGCATAGCAGATACCATCAGAATTTATGATGATATGTTTAGAAAATTGCCCAACAGTTTATTCCAATTTCCAATTGAATTGTGTGGGTTTCAGCTGGAAAGGTGTGATGTCAGATACTTCCATGCACCAATCTGGATGTAACAACATTTTAATCAGAATCTCATGGGAGTCGTGTTATATGCTGAATATGCTGAATGCACGTTCTTAAAAATCATTTTAAGTCCTGCATTGTTTAGATCCATTTTTCCCTGTAACTTTCTGATGCATTGATGCATTTCTTGCCGCATTATCCCGTCAATCAGTGAAATTATGTAGAACCATTGGGGGAAATGTGTATCACATCACCTGTGTGCGTGTGCCTTTCCTGCATATACACAATACAAACAAAACGGGGACCCACTAAAAAACTCCAAAGTGTACCTTTAAAAACGGATGTTTTTTTCCCCCCAAACTTTAACTCTGATAGTGGTTTATTTCATCGTGAATATATTATATTATGTAGCTGATTTGAAAATCAAGTGTTCGCGGGCTTTGAATCAAAACGTTGATGGTGAAACAAGACATCTTTTCATAAAAGACAGGTCAAGGCTGCCCATTGGCAACTGTTACTTTCATATCTTGACCTAGATTAGTGTTGCAAATGCTTTTGTCTCCTCAGCAAATATTTCTTGACTTGGTCTGAAGTTAATCGAAGCACAAATGTATTCAGTCTCAGCAACTTTTTCCCATACTGTACCCTTAACGCCAAAGCCTACAAATTGCTATTTAAAGCCCCCCTTCACTCAATAATATTGGTTAGCCTTTTATTCAGATTTTTCAATGAAAGAGAAGCAGGTGATGTGAGTTTAAGACATTTTAATGAGCTAACTGATTTGTTTTTGGAAACTCCATATAAGACACAAATTATTATTCCATGGAGAGTATTTACATTAGTGTTGGATGATGCCTATCATATTGGAATCTGACGATGTCTACAATGAAACACCTGGATGGACGATGAAATAGGGGTTTGTCTAATAAAGGTGCTGTAGCCTACGTTGCGCAAAGCAACACTGCTTGACACAAGACAATAAGGGGCCTCAAATGAAGCCACCTGAGCGACGCAAAAACAGAACTGGCAGCAGAGAGGGCGGCATCCAACAAGTGGGAGAAGAGGAAGATCTCAGTCATGATCACCTTATCAGAAATAGTCTGGTCAGGTAATAAGCCTCAGCTAAGGCCGATAGAAATACAATCAACAAAAATAAAGACTAGCCCTCTGATTTACTGAGGCACCTGTGCAAACGAAGCCGGCTCAACATTGTGATGTCTGTCAGCCATCGGTGATGGACGATGGGATCGTCTATTGGCCCTACCCAGTTGCCTTAAAACATGTCCACAGACCAGAGAGGATCTTCAATTTCAATATTCATCCATGTCCACACATGAGCTGAAATATGCAGGCTGGCCCATTTGAACTAATCTTCATAATAATCGTGGTGATGTAGATATTGAAGAACAAGCTTGAGACTGAAGGTGAGAAAACAGTAAGGAAACACTAGTCTAAGGCAAACTCTCAAGGACTGTCCTTAAAGCAAGTAAAGTTTCTTCTCCTGGGCCGCAGTCCCCTCGCTGTAACTCCAGACTTTGGGGCAAAGTTAGCTGAGCTGCAGTTTTTGAGAATGAAAGGAAAGGAAAAACCGAAACCCAACTCCACGAGGGTCTGCCTGTCTGCTATTGTGGATATTTTTATCTGCTGCGCGTCTAAGGCCGAGACACAGAGGGAAATACGAACCAGCCAACCCAAGCTGACAGTGAGGAGTCAGACTGTCAAGAGGTCTGCTTCCCCCCTCACCACCGCCCCCTGCTACAAAACCCAAATGGATTGTCATATCAGATTTAGGTGTATAGGTTATTACACCCTTGGGCTCCTGTTTCCAACACACCCGTCCGCATGGCGGGATTGAGTTTGAGGACTCTCTCTTCTCGTTCTCTTTCCTTGGTTCTGTAAGTTCCTGTTTCTTTGATAAAACAAAAGAAAACTCAGGCAACTCCTAAGATAAAGTAGTGGGATATTAATTGGAAGATTTGACCTGTTCTAGCTCCCCCTTCAGATATACACGATTGTGGATTTGCAGTTGCATCACAACAAATTGGCTTTGTGCAAATATAGCTAAATACTGGATGTAAAAAAAAAGATATGCTTGGTATGGCCTTGGCCTGTTTAGGAGCATCTAATCTAGTCAATATATCGACAAAAATGGGACTGTGATAAAGTGAAGTATCTTGTCCTTTGACCTCATCTGCAGAAGAAATCAATGTACAGTATTTCCCACAATCCCGATATTTACTTTAGAGGAAAAACAAGATTTATCAACCAAAACTGGGAACGCTGGGACAAGTATTTGAGTTTAACTTGCATAGCTTGAGCATATTTATGCCTCTTTGGTAAATCTTTCTATGAATTTTCCTCTGTAAGTGAGGCATTCATGCAAGGACAAACCGATTCATGACTCTCCTTTTGCTCCCCTTATTTAAAATTTCCATGGACCAAATTCAGTGCAAAAATGATTTTGAAAGTTCCCCAATTTCTCTTACAATTCCAGCAATAGGAAAGTGGCCCCACAATCCTTGTTAGTATGTATTTTGTCTGATTGACACACTGTATCTTATCTGTTGAATTTATCAGTTTTACTTTGTTTCTGTCTAGAGAGAAATGTTAACTGATTCCATCAAGACTTGTTGCTCCAGGAAGAGTTTCTTCTAGTAAGCTTGTTGCGTTGAGTGGTTCTAGTTGATATCATGTGATGTGTTGCTACTTCTCATCACAGAGGTCATGCACTGTGGCATTGCAAGTATTAACATAACATTTTGAGGTGTATTTGTTAAAAGGTTATCTGTGGAATTTTTGGCCTCTGGTAGCACTATGGAGCTGTTTCTCTGAGTGGGTCTTTTCCTTCCTTGGGCCACTTTTGATAGGTACTGACCACTGCAGACCAGGAACACCCCACAAGAGCTGCAGTTTTGTTGATGCTCTGACCCAGTCGTCTAGCAATCACAATGTGGCCCTTTTAAAAGTCGCTCAAATCCTTAAGCTTGCCAATTTTTCCTGCTTCCAACGCACCAACTTTGGAGACAAAATGTTTAATTGCTGCCTAATATATCCCACCCACTGACAGGTGCCATGATATGGAGATAATCAGTGTTATTCACCTTACCTGTCAGTGGTCATAATGTCATGGTTGATCAGTGAACATACAGAGAAAATGTTTCATGAGGAAAGAAATCCATTCAACACATTTGTCAGAGCTCAGTGGTGGTGATAGACATTGAATATAAAACACCCTTTTGTGTGGTTACAAGAACCCTCCACAGGCCCCTGTAACAGTTTACAATTTACTGAACAATTTTGAAAAAATATCTCATTGCGATTATTTTGACTGATACTGCAATTGCCCTATGATTTGCAATTTTTTATTTATTTAAACTTTAATTTACAAGGAAAGTTCCATTGAGAAAGAATCTATTTTACAAGGGACACTTCGCCAAGAGGGCAACACAGTTAAAATACAACACATATGTGCTATTACAAGGAATGATCATATCATTATTATTCTCATTTTCATTTGAAAACCTTAAAATGATTATGGTGTGATTTTTAGGGGGGTTTGTACCAAACAAAGATGTTTTCTTAAGTCTGTAGAATATGATGTGGACATCTCTACAGCACGACCATGTTTTATTTCAGATGGTATTTTGATGGTATTCGCAAATACAAATATTGCGCCCCCATGTGATTTGAAAATAGCAGTAGGCATTATTGCGATTTTACTAAAAATTCGATTAATTGTTCAGCCCTAGTGTACACGGGATTATAACTTGTTTTTCCCAACATGCAATAACTCAGATGTTGAATGTTTATGACTACTGTTGGACTGACACAGGGTATTAGAAGTCCATGAAATCAAATGAAAACAAAAGAAGAATGAGAAAGCAGTTGGCGTGACACATCTGGTGCACTCCGTTGGGATGAAGACTGCTTTTCATCTAGCATGCTTTCATTTTGTGTTTCTCTTTTGAAGGAAAGACACCAAATGCTTTCAAATCTCTGTGGGATATTAGCTTATGGATGAGGTGAGACTCTTCAGGCAAAATCTCCCTCCAGACTTATAAATAGGCTAATATAAACTGAGAAGAAGTTTTATTAATTTTATTGCTTCATAATCCATCTTTGAAGCTTTGTTGACACACAGAGTTGTATTATTTTGCCAGATTTTTTAATATACTTTGGTTTCGCGTTTACTCCACGGAGGAGAGAGTCCCAAGTCGGAGCTCAGAAGTAGCCAGGCTGATTTCAGAGCGTTACCTTGCAGTGTTGAGTAAAGGGTGTTGGGTCCCGACCAGCTTCCTGACATGCATGGCAACATTACTGAGTTCATCACTGAGCAGGCAGCGAAGACTCATGAAGGAGGTAGGATATCCGACGATCTTCTCTGCGTCGGAGACCACTTTACTCCAGTGTGAAGGTCCTGAGCTCGAGAACAGACTCAGTGTCCTGTGTCCTCGGCTGGGCAAAGCCTTGCAGGACAGTCGTGACCATGTAGCTGGAAGCATTTTCCCTTTTTCTGGTTTGAGACAGTTGCTTAAAATGCCATTCAGGTAACGTTAAACTTCATCACCAGATTCACCCGCTAACGTTGTGACATGTAAATAGTACCGCAATTATATTATTTATAAAAACGCCTAATTTTATATCCAAACAGATTTCACATACTGTGACTGTGAGAATAACTAACTGTGTTTCACAACACACGACCTGACACTGCGAGCCGCCATCTTTAAACGCGTAATAGGTTACGTCGTAACACGTAACGACGGCTGTTGCCAAATTCCGATACGCCCCTTTCTGAGGAGAGCGCCTCGAGCTAAACTCCATTAGAGAATCAGTCGGTTTTATGTTGCCTTTTTTTTTTATCAAAGCTGCTCCGGACAGAACATAACATGAAGACATTTAAATATATTTTTTGTTTATAGTGCTTCATTCGGCAAGTATAACATTTACAAAGCGTTACATTTGCTAAGTTAACTATACACTTTTACAGTTGGTTCACACCTGTCCTCATTTTCCACCACTGGAAACGATGGCACAAGACTGGGCCAATACTAAGCGCTTCATAAAAACATTCACTCACCAGCAACAGCCATGGTGCCACCCACAAGAGCAGCCAGTCAGGTACCTGGTACCTGCAACTCCCCCAAACCTTACTAGGCCTGCTAAATTCAGTTAAATAGATCATGTCGAAATACTGTTCATGTGTTCTAGGTCAATAACCAGTAAACAAGAGTTTAATCTTTATGTTTGAATCTATTTAAAACCACTATGTGTTCATTGAAATCACCAACTCTTTGTGACTTGAATTGTTAGAATACACAATAGGCCTACAAGAATAAAAAGGCCCAAGAATCTAAAGATTCTCAAAAAAGCAATTGATGAAATGTAAATTTACCTTCAACACAGGCTGTCCAGGAGGGGGTTGACATAAAAAAAGTTTACACCAAGCATCTAATCTATGGTTAAGTAATTTGAGGGCCCATCTGCCTTCCATTTGCTGTGGATGTTATTTTCATATTTTGAGATCAGCTGAATGAGAGCAGCACCGACCTGTGATTTGATGCATTAGCACTGTTTGATCATTATAGAAGAACATTATGGTTTTCTTCAGTGTTATTGTTGAAGACCCCATTAATGTAATGTTAATGATTTATTCTGATATCTTCTCTTTTTTTGATAAATTAAGACTTGTACTGCCTCATAGTTTGTTTTTCATTTAGTTAGTTTCATTCATGTTGTCAGTGCTTTTGTTAAATAACTGTAACGTACAGAGACAACTGCATGTTTCATATTAAGTCTGATTAGCCTACTGTGAATCACGAACATGCTTAGTGAGATTGTATGCCAATGTGGAAACCCTTTTGGATAAACTCTGTCTTAGTTCTGTCCTATCTCATTATGTGTTTCTATTATGGCAAACGTCCAATATTAAAACCACAAATTTTAACTCCTGTACTGAGGTCAAAAATTATTTGAATACCAGATGAAAAAAAAAAATTAAAATATCCATTTAAACCAAAATGCTCTTGTTTCAGTTCATGTGATATCATCCTTGTGACAATACGACAGTTCCACAGTATGATAGGGAAATACCCCGGCAGCATTGGATTTAACAATGCTTTCATTGAATCCCACTCCATCTGCTTATTACTGGATTGGAGAGAAAGTCTGTCAAGGACAGCTTACATAACATAGAGCTGCAGTCTCCTTTGCTGAATAGACTTACAAAACAAACATACACACTGTTTATCCATTTATTGGAAAACTGTATTTTAACTTGTTCTTGATTCATCCATTCTAAGAATTTTACCTTCATAACTGGGGGAATAGCTATAGCCAAATTTTTGTGTTTGTAGAAATATGTTACAGCAATATTATAGCACAAAATGCAACCGAGTCATTCAGATTACACATGCTTTATAGTAGTTCCAATCACGAAATTTCAAAAACAGTAATTTTCTTATTCACAAGGCTACTGCTTTCAGTGAAAGCAGCCATCTGCATTACTGCACAATGCATCATCAAAAGCATTACAGTTATATTACACTAAACCAATCTGCTGTAGCTGAAGGAACAGCTTAAAGAAGGAATCTTGTGATGCAGGTGAGCGGCTGGTTTGCATGACATGGCAAGAGCAGCGCTGTAACAAGCCATCTCACCCTGACCCTGCGTCACGGTTCAAGGCCCCTGTTCCCGCTGAATTTCCGGCTCAAATGGGTGTCACACTGCCATGAGCAGCATCCCACAGCACTCTCAGTGGCTTTCCACTTGCCAGCTTATTGTAATTCCAGCTAAAGCACAGAGTTGAAAGAGGTAAATTAATGCCCAAAGCAAAAAATATTTATAAAAGAGATCATGATCGGTTTCATATGCCAGTAATGACCCCTGTGACACTGTCACCGCATTGTCTAAACATGTAATTTTAACCTTTTTAATGAGCTCTGCTAGAGCAACAGAAAGTTAAAACAACTATACCAAAACATGTGTCTGAATGTCAAGTCGTTTTTATTTATATAGCCCAGTGCCACAAATTTGCCTCAGTAGACAGCTGCACAGCACCATGACACCCTCTAGCTTTAGACCCTCAATTTGGATAAGGAAAAAGTCCCCCAAAAAATAGGGAAGAAATGGAAGAAACGTCAGGAAAAGCAACAGAGTAGCGATCCCTCTCTCAGGATGGACAGACGCACAATAGATGTTGTGTATAGAAAGATTAGACCAACATTATAATATTACAGTCTGAAACTTGGGATGACAAAATGATACATTGATTGCAGATATATGTGAAGAATGTTGAAGTTGAGCAACTTCAGGTGTCACCAAACAGATAAGACTTGTGCCACAGGGCCTCTTCTCCACCTTGGAGGTGGAGACAAATTACAGGTGAAATAAATGACATTATAGCGTTGGCTCTGTTCCTTTAAGCGTCCCAGTAAGCCAAGACAGTCATGCAGGATACCTGGAACTAGCTCACCTGAATGGAATGCAGTCATTTTTAATATTATCAATTACACCTGTGCTTATCGGGTATGTCCGCTGTGAAAAAGGTTTGTTTTCCTTGTGAAACGTGCACAAATCTCGCCCACAATAAAGAATAGGCCTATCTAAATTAACAATTATTATTTACTGGAATAAATGCTTTCAAAATACTGGACAGTGGATTGTTATGGTACAACTCCAGTTTTTATCTTTTAACCTGAAAGGGAGATGTTTGAAGTTATAGTTGATCAGTCCAATAATGTGGGGAAAACACTATATAAATTAGTTTTGCAATCTTTTTTCTTTAAACAGAGCTCCCACTTATATTTGGGAATGTGTTGAAAGTAACAAATTACAAAACTGCCTCAAGGCTCAAAGTGTGATGGGTTTGAATGTGGGAGAGCTTTGTTTCATCTGTGTGCTCAACTTTCCTTGTCTCTTACAAAGCCAATGACAAAACTGAACTATGGGATCCCGGCAAACATGTTTAATAATGATAAATGTTGAAAAAAGATACAAGTAAGTACCAAAATGATAAGACACTAGTCGTATACCTGAGGGAACAGCCCGATGGAACAACCTGAGGGAGAAGAAGCAACTCTCTGAAGGCGAAATGGAAACATTAGCCTTTATATATCCAGCATGGTGGTTCAGTCATTACGAAATCATCTCAGCTAAAAAGTTTTCCTTTGTCCTTGACAAAGCGTTTCACCGTTTCCCTCACTGTGATGAAGGACTGGTTTTAGGCTGCACTTCTGTTCTGATTGCGCGCACACCACACGGCCATCGTCCCGCACCTGCTCCAGACGTTCCTGACGTTCCACTATGATGGTTCTCTTTACAAGGCAAATAAAGCCATGGTTTTAATCCCTGCAACATCCACTGACCTATTGATGTGTCACTGAGGAAGGCACTACACCTGCGTAGTTGCTCGGTTTAGGATTGAAATGTCTTTCTGCACATGCAACTCAACACACTGGGACTTCCAGACTTGACTTGAGTTTGTGGTGTTAAATGACTGAAGCTGTAACTGACAGAGAGACCAAATTTCATCTTTGCAACACCAGCTGGTTGGAAGACTTGTTGGAACAACAATGTAAGACTGTGGGACTGTGTTTGGGCACCTGTTTGCTGCTTGCAGACTGTGACCATGAGACAGCAGCGCTAAGTGGATGTGACTGCTCTGATTGCACTCCATGGGAAAGCGAGAAGAAATAGCCTACCTCTGATCATCTACGGCGTCATATAATGTTTCAGCGGACGCCCCTCCCCCTGTCTCGTTTTCCCCCTCACTCAACCTCTCCTTTGACTCACAGAGACGGCTCACCACTGGCGCACGGACCGTGGACGATACGGGCAGAAGATGGCTGACTTAGCCGGGCACCGCAAGTCCTCGGCGGCATCACCAGCGTCACACGGGCCGCTGAAAAGCTGCAAGACATCCGCCGTCTGGCGACTGTAAACAGCTGCCGCTGCCTCTCTCACCCCCTCCACTCCCCTCCTCACCGCAAATATTGACAGAAGTATCATAGAGAAAACATGGCAGAGATGGAAAAAGAGGGCAGACCTCCGGAAAATAAAAGAAGCCGAAAACCAGCTCACCCGGTGAAAAGGGAAATAAATGAAGAGATGAAGGTAAAAAGGGGTCTGTGCCCAGTTGCATGTGATTACGCGCGGAAACAGAGTGGTTGTGAGGAGCATGCATGTTTGTTCAAGCACCAGGCGTCCTCATTGAAAATGTACGATTACTCAAGTACAATTAGCTGCATGATAGTCTGAGTTTGATTTATGATTTTTTTTATCCCAAGTTTTATTGTCATATAACCACGCTGAATGCCAGCCTAAGCAGCGCACCCTGCCAATATTCCATACCGTCTTGCACAATGGATGCGGCACCCATTCACTGCTACTATTCTACTAGTAAGTTTTTGAATTAGTGGGGAATACGGTGTACGTTCCTGTCGCTTCATGTCCCAATTTCGCCGTTTGTGTGCCCTGCCTTTCATAGCTTGCCCAGAGTTAATGGAAAATCCAGTGCGTCAGTGAAGGCGTCAACAGTGCCTCTACTATTAGCTACTATTAATACTGATACACTACGGCGCAAGGGAGAGCAGCCAATGTGCATAATTAGTATGAATCAATGGGGGAACACTCGCCTATCCACAATGCTATTGCTGGTCCATGTCGACTGCGTGGGTTTGCCTCTGAATCACGGTGTGTGTTTGTGTTTATGTATGTGTCTGTTGCCCGGCTGCCCAGAGGCGTGTGATCCAGATGTGCGTCTGTAAGCTTTACGCACTCGACAAGAGCACATTGTCTCCTGTGTTCGGCCTGCTCTACCCCAATACTCACCCACACGTTGTGTCTATTCGGTTTTTTTTTTTTTTTTGCTCGGTGCACATTGTGCTGTTTGAGCCCTGGGCTTTTTGCGGTTCATTGTGGAGAAAGAAAGTGTTCCTGGCATTTGTGTGTGTGAGACAGGCTGTCTATCCGCTTTGTCTCCATCTCTTCATTGTTTGTACACATTTGGCCGGAGACACAAATTCACTCAGTGAATTTTTGCTGTTATGTGTGGATATGCAGGTGATTACATCGAGAAGAATTGTGGAAAATGTGTGATTTTAGGCTATCGGGGGGTTGCTGGCTTTGAGGAGTCCTGAATCAACCCTGGAATAACGCCTTTTTGTATTTAGACCTATCTAAAATACCAGCCGCGTTCATGTCTCACCGCTTCTTCTCTGTTGCTGTTAAGAAAGAAAGGATAATGTTAGTTTTAGTGATAACAATCTACATTTAGCTTTGTTGGTGAGCTCAGCTGCCAAAGATACATTTATCATTATCATAGAGCAGTAAGGAACAGGTAGTAAACTACAATAATATTGCATGATAATAAAATCAATTTTAGCAGTATAATCTACAGTACTGTATTATAGGTATTTTCCTTATGTGTACTTAATTGCAGCTTGAACAGATGCATACCTGTCCAGAGTTGTCCACGCTTGTTACCTGAAAAATGCAGTGGAGCTCTAGAGAAAGGGTAATTCTGTTGATAACAGAATTCTAACTTTTGGTTAAGCTGTACAGTTTTTCTTCATACAATTAAAAGTAGGCCTAATGGGGTGGTGATGGGGCAGTGGATAAAACAGATGCCTTTGGTGTGAGAGACCTGGGTTTGAATCCACTGTGAGACATGTCCCTGAACAAGACACTCAGAGGCGTGCGACATGTACAGCAATTGTAAGTGGTTTTGGATAAAAGCGTCAGCTAAATGAATAAATGTATTTATCATGGTCTTCAGTTTGTGAAGGGATACAGTTAACCCACCGTCCTGCTGTCTGGTCCTGATGACAGAAGGGAGGGTTACATTGTGGTGGTGGGTGTCACGCATGGTCTCTCCATGGAGTAATGTTCTTATTTCTTATAAGCATTTTGAATATCTTTATGAGCATCGTTTTGGAAAACTAAAGTGTTGTCTTGCCACATGTGAGCACAACAATTTGTTTTATTCATTTTTATCATTACAACCAAAAGCAAATATGACCATAAATCTATTTGCACTCACTGTGATAAAAAAAATCAAATGTCTCCTCTTATAATTTATCAGATTGACTAAGTAATTACATGATGTCAGTCATCAGTCAGAAATGATGTTTTATTTGCAGGTCTGTAAGTTTTGCCTTTAGATATGATAGATGTTGTGACACAGGTCATCATTTAGGCTCCAGTGAATTGGCACCTCGTACAATATGTTTTGGAGAGCAGACATGTCAATTAAACATCTCATCTGATGAAAACAGCTTAATTTGTCATTTGATTTGCAAGCGCAGGGTAGTAACAGACCGTCGATCTGAGTTTTTGAAGACGTACCTGCCCAAATAAAAATGTCAGTAGCTTGGGAATGTTTAGATATGTCAATACACGATACAGCAGATATAGTGTTGTGCTGTTGGTGCCTAGGGGAACAACACCACTCTCCCATGACAACGCCGGTATTTCCATCAATACCAGGGGAAACTACTGAATGGAGCAGCAGATGTGGTTAAGGTGTCAAAACACTTTCAAAGGCTAAACAAGTTCGATTGTCGCTCATTACGCAACCTTGAATTTCATCTCGTGTTGCACGCACGCACACACACACACACACACACACACACACAGACATTCACACACAAGCGGCTGTATAAAATTTTTATTTCAGTAGGGAACTAGAAAATGGTTGCAGCATCTCTTTCAATACCTTTATTGTTATTGTGACATTACGAGAGATAGTAAATGGAATCATGTTAAAAGATATGGATGTATTTGATATGATAAAGCATGAAGTTATGGCATGGTTATGAGAGTAATATACCTGGATACAAGTCAAACTGTAAACCTAGAGCCAGCATTACGACCTGCAGAGTTGTAATTAATTAACAGTAGGCCTTGGTTGCATGACAGTTGCCTCCCCCAGAACAGCTAGTAAGTGACGTTTTATTGATTGACTTTCTGTAGAAAACTCTCAGGCTCTTCTGTTCCAGGTGTTCAGACCAAAAAGACCCGGCTTGTTCCCTTCTCTCATCTTCAATATTTCAGACCAAAGTCGGAGGAAAACACACAGACAGACAGACACACAATGCGCCCTTGTGAGGGATCATACTCTGAAAGACCAAACAGTCTGACAGTGTTTCCTTCATCTGGCTGCTTAATGTGTGCCACGGTAAAATAAGCCCCGGTGAGTAATCAAGGAGAAGGAGGAGTGGGCATGGAGGGGATATGAGAGGCTGGAGAGTGGGGTAAGAAACAGTGGAGAAAGGAATGTATACAGCGTACGGCTGGCTAAGCTGTAAAAACTGTAACCTGAGTGTCTCTGCTGGATCAGATATCAAGGAAAGTAGAGGGGAATGAAAGCAGAGGAGAGGGAGCGGCAGAGGAGGAGAGAGGGAGCAGGGGAGTGGAAAAGTGGGAGAAGGAGGAGGAGGAAGCAAAGGGAAACTTGGCGTGTGGATTCGGGAATGTTATCACGGTGTACAGTGACCTGCTCTGGTTTCTACCCGCAAGGGATCCAGTTCCAACCAGCGTCATTACCACAAGCCCTACTGGCCAGGACTGAGTCTTACTGGAGGGAAACAAGGGGGAAGACTGGGGAGAAGCAGGATTTTAAATGTATTTTTTTTTAATCATTAACCACCGCTGAATATATGGCAGAGAGGTGCCAGCTTGTGAATCTTATCATGAGTACTATCTGTACTATCCTGCTCTGTAAAACCACCAACTTGAAACTGTTCTGGCCAATGCTAAAGAGAACAAAGTGGGTATTGTCCTGCTATGGTAACTTCTTGACAGTGTAGATAAACACACCAGAAAATCATCAGCATATCAGATGGATAACCCACATTGGACAAAACAGGCATCAGTAGAGACATGGCGATTTAATAGCTGATGGCCTTAATTGTACATAATAATCATAACAGATTATACACTGTATGTATATTGAGATGCCCATTTATAAGGCAAACCAAACAAGTGCAATCCAGTACTGACATATGGGGGTGGCCGAAACTTTAGAAACACCCTCCCATTTATCCTGTGCAGCGTCGCAAGGATTTGAAAGCAGGACTATGTCATTTTTGCTAAACAGCTGCCACTGTTGTTGTACACTTGCAGGATAATGATAATAAATGCTAGTATGCAGTGTAACACATAAGCAGCATGAGTAAAGTCAGCAAACTGACTCAGTAAGCAAGTTAGCTAACTGGATTCACCATAAACTACTGATCATACCAGACCAAGTTAGGCTGTAGTGGTAGAGTCTATTGAACTGAGCAAGAATGTGTTTTATTTTGTATAAATTTAACTCTGATTTGTAAGATGAAGGGTGTGCTATTTCTTCTGTCAAAAGTTACGTAGTCTCACTTTAAAAACAGCGTTTAATAATGTCTTAGGCAATTTCTTGACTTTTTGCAATAGCTGACCCAATGATTAGCAAGCAGTCCCTGCTGTCATTATTATTTTTTCAATCAATTTGCTTCCATTGCTACTGCTTTGTTGACAAAACAAGACCCCTAAATGCTGCAGCATTCATTACACCCCACTGTACCAGTGGATGAACCAAAATAGTGACGATATTCTTGGGGCCTTATCATCAGTGGTGTTAGTTAAGTTTATTCAAAGGTTGATGGCAGAGAAAGACCACAGTCTCATTGACATCTAAAGGGATTATTCCCTTGGGGGAAAATATGTGCTCAGTAAATTTCATAGATTGATATTTTTGTCTGATGGTGACACTAGAAGGGACCTTGTAGAGCGTCCAAAATGGTCCAAAAAGATCCAAAAAGGGTTTGTTCTCTTGGCAGAACACGAGCTAAGTAAACAATCTGTCTATTAGATTCGTACATTTACTGTGTACAATATTTATCGGATGTTGGTTTTATAGAAATAAGTTGTGGAAGTCACCAAATGCTTAGATTTACTTAGTGGTGGACAGTAATTAAGTACATTTACTCAAGTACTGTACTTGGGAGACTTTTTCTTCCCCACATTTATCTGACAGCTTTATTACTTATTACTTTACAAATTAAGATTTTTACACACAAAACATATGAAGACTTAAGAATAGTTACAAATTAAACTACCCAACATTTTATATATATAAG